TACTAAAATGTTACTTCTATTATCGGACCATTTTTATCTGACTAAAACGTAATAAATTTTGATTTTTTTTATCTGATTAGCACGTTACCACTGTTGAATTTTTGTCTGACTCAATTAATTATAAAAATGTTATTTTCGTAATATTTTATCTGACTAATAAAAATTATTTTTATTTGAATTTTTGAAGTGTCACATGCTAGATCTGCCATCCTCGATGCAATTTGCCTCCGAATTGAGGCTGCCGCGGCTGGAGGGGTGTGAGAAAGGTGCTATGGAATGTGGTGGTGGTATGGGTTGGTTTTGGGCAAACTTGCTGGAGAAGACCCACTGCCGGTGGGGTAGCAATTTTACGGGGGTTGTGAGTGGGATGGGGAGGGAGGCTAGAGAGGGGAGGGCGGATGGCCACCTAACGTGGAGGCAGTGGTGAGGTTTCTGTGGCCGGAGATGTGAGACCGGTGGTTGTCGGAGGTTGTGGCCGGTGGTGGTCGCTGACTCGCTGGAGAGGTGCAAGGGCCAGATGTCAGCGATGGGGCGGTTGGTCACTATTTGGGCGGTGTCACTATGACGATGTCACCGGTGAGGGTGTCACTATGGCGGTGTCACCAGTGGCAGTGTCACTATGGCAGTGTCACCGGTGGCGGTGTCACTACGGCGTTGTCACCGGTGGCGGTGTCACCGGTGACAATGTCACTACGGCGGTGTCACCGGTGGCGGTGTCACTATAGCGGTGTAATTGATTTGAAAAAAATCTGACGGTAATCACTTTTAGTGACATAAAAATGCAGTGACAAAATTGTGCAGTGACATTATGTTTTCCATCTATATGACCTTGTTAGTCATTTTTTTGTCAATTTTTAAAAGTACTCATATTTTTAGAAATTCAGTTTAATTTAGTAATAATAAGGGGAAAACCCCTTTGTTATACACACAAACACAACATTAATAATCATATTTATGCAAGAATATTGATAAAACTATAATATCTCTATCTCTGACTAGTCCTTGCCTAGGCACCCGCCTAGCTGCCTAGGCGTTGGATTGGCGCTCGACTAACGCTTACGCCTTTTAGAACATTGGTATTGTCTAAAACTAAAATCATCTCATCTACTTAAAATCATTTTGTATGAATGTATCCTATTTGACGGTTTTAAATACTGTGTCTATCTTTCATAATCACTACACCAAGTATATCCGGTTGTATCCTTTAAAACACAAATATGATGTCTTCCCTTTTTTCAGGCATTTTGACCTCTTGTGAAGAGCAAATTTAATCACAAAATCAAAACCCTTTATCTGGATAATGGTGTAGAGTTTGATATCCTAACCCCACACCTCACTACCCTTTGCATAGCTCATCTTGTTTCAGCTCCATAGACCACACACTTGTGAAAGAAAGGGTTATGTTGAACGTTGTCACTGCCATATAGTTGAAACCTGCCTTGATTTACCTCTGGTCTTACTTTACTTCCAACCTCCCTACTTCTCCATTACTGGACTTCAAATTGCAGTTTACCTAATAAATTGCCTCCTACCCCCTCCCACAAATTTCATTCTCCCTATGAATGCCTCAACCACATTCTTCCCAATTATACAAATCTTCGTACCTTTGAGTGTCTATGTTATCTTTAAATTTGACCGTATAATCAACATAAATTACAACTTCAATCGACTCCTTATATCTTCTAAGGATATTTCCTCACTCAAATAAAGCCACCAATATAACTTCCCAACCTGTATTGACCGCTGCTCCTCCGCTTTTTAACGCTAACCTTCCGTTTTCAACCTTATCTCCTCCGCCCTTCGTCTTCATCGCGTAACCTCCACTTCTGGCGCAGTCTACATTCTTCGATGGTAGGATCTTAAACCTCCGCCCTCAGCTTCGTCGACGGCAGCAACAACGCTAGCTTCTCCGTTGTCCTTGATGGCCTCCCCTCCCATGGATGACAACTCAGGTTTGAGGGCGCCAGTTCCGGATCCGCCTTCCTCAATGAGCGACGACTCGGATTTGAAGACACAAAAGCTTGAAGCTGCCTGGTCTCGACCTACTCCGCTTCTTGCTTTTCAAATCTACGCCAATGTTGCGATGGCAGGGAGTGGTGGGACAACGGTGGTCGAGGACTTGGGTGACAAGGGCAGAGGAGATGAGACTGGGGAGATGGGGTGCTGGAGCTAGCGGTTGGGCTGGGGCTGCCAATTTTTCCAACCCTCGACGATTCCAACTTACCACTCCCATGTTTCCAAGTTGATATAATAGCAAAATGTAAATTGTCATTCTGCCGTGAAACACAGCTAGACAAAAAAAAAACTCTGCAGAGGCAGGTTTGAGGCTTGCCGCTCTGCCTCAAGATTGAACCGCACGCCACCGGAAAGAAAGTTCGGCCATCATCCACCAAATCTAGCTCTAGACATTGCTAGGCCGTTCACTTTTTTTACCCTAGGACAATACTAATGGGCCTCTTTAACACGGATTTTAAATGATTTTAATGGATCGTAGATTTTATGGATTTTAATGGAATTCTACGGATTTCATGAGATTCATATGAAATTGTATGAAATTCTATTTCATGGAATCACATGGATTTCAATGGAATTTAATGGATTTTAATGGATTTGAAATACAACCCGGTGCAAATCCCTGCCCTAATTCCCAGCCCCCACACTTGCTTAGCCGCTGCAAACCGCCGTCGGAAAAGTCGTCGGAATATTTTGATAAAAAATATGTAGTAGTATGCCATAAAAATCAATATACATAAATTACATAAGGGAGTTTCCTGGCAAGTCCCCATGGTTCTGAAATATGAAACAAGTTTAAGAATTCAAAGTTTGGATAATAGTGGTGACAGTCAAACTCCCGTTTAATGCTCAACCAAACAAGTTTAAATCAATATACATAAATTACAGAAAGGAGTTTCCAGGCAGCAAATCATTAATGAGGAACGGCCATCATACTTCTCAGCAAACCAAACAGTCAAAATCAATATACATAAATTTACAGGAGGGAGTTCCCAGACAAATCATTAGTTTCAAACCCATGAAGTGTTCTGTGCGTGTTAAATCAACTTGTGCCTCAACCATCAAGAATTCAAAGTTTCCTGAAATGGTCGACTCGGAAAGACTATCAGCATATAAAATCGTACGTGAGGACATAAAAAAATATGGAGAAAATCGTACCTGGAAAATACTCGAAGGATGAAGAAGGTGAGTGTAGTTGGAAGATCGAAGTGAATACCCAGGGCGTCTTCGAATCCCGTAGGTGCGTTGGTTGTTTTAAATGGATTCGCAAATCCAAGGGGTCTGAGAGATTGTCGGTGGATTGATTTATTCAATGGGAAAATGGTTTCGAACTTACAAAAAGATGTCAAATAAGGCCTTATATAAGAGGTTATGTCCGGCCAACGTCATTTAGGGCGGTTCCTGGTGGAATTTTTCAATGAAACTTTTTGAGCATCTTATTCATTAAGTCTAGTTTACTCATACCAACTTTCATCTAAGACTTCAATCGGGAAGGCATTCAAATAAATTCTTTAAGATAAGTGCGCAGTTATCTTCAAGAATTTATTTGAATGCCTTCAAATGTCGTCGGCCGGACATAACCTCCTATATAAGGCCTTATTTGACATTTTTTGTAAGTTCGAGGCCTATCAGACTCTTTTCTGTTATTCAATTTTTTAACCTAAAATCTCATCAAAGTCTATCAAAGTCCATCAAAATAATCAATAAGTAAAATCCATGTATTGTTTGGGGATACCCAAATTTTAATAGACTCTATAGAAATCTAAGTTAAGGACACCTGGATTTGGATGGAATTCTAAACTCCATTAAAATCTTTTAAAATCCTTGTCGGGGACACCCCTCTAAGTCTAGCATCCTCGATGAAGTTAATATCAGATTAATATTTGTCTTATTGTTTACAAATTATATTTTTTGAATAATTGTATTTGAAAATAGGTTTTAAAATATAAAAGGATATCTTGCAAAAAATATTATAAAACCCGAATGAGAAATTGACACATTCCCTACCCGAACCCGATTTATAAAAAACCCGAATCGAACCAAATATAGTGGGCCTTGTTCCGATCTTTAATCTTCATAATCCGAATTTTTACGGGTAATTGTCAAATTTAGCAAAAATTAGGGAAAAGTACCAAATCACCAATAGTGCAAATCACCCGCTAAACTATAAAAAAGTGCAACCAGGACCTCCAACTCGGCGATATAGATTACACCTTAAATTAAAAAAATATGCAACCAAATTCTCCAACTCGATGATGTAGTGCAAATGACCTTCCTAAGCAGTAAATCGGTAATATACCGATTAAAGTTGATTTGCGCCATTTATAAAAAAAGGGTAAATTATCAAATAGATCCTTCTACGTACTATTTTCAATTCATCACTTCAGCTCTTCAACTAAACAATATTATATAAGTATGTTTACTTTTAAAATACAATCAATTAAGTCATTTGAGTTGCTTTGCACTATATGACCATGTTAGTTCGATGGCTGATTCGGTACTTTCCCCCCCCAAAATTGTTCCCCTAAATTATTGGACCATTCCAAACTGGGTCCCGCCGCAGTAACTACTACTTCCTCCGTCCCAAATTGATAGTCCTATACTTTTGGGGTTCAAATATCTAGAAAGCGGTGTAGAATGACTCATATAACTTACTTTATTAAACTGTTCATTACTTTACTTTTACTGTTCATAAAAAGTAAATGTATAAATGATAATCTACTTTAATTTCCTACTTAGTGTAAATGATATTCCTTTTTAGTGATGAAAATGGTGTAAACTATTAGAGATAAAATAGTGTATGATGTAATATTTTTTACATCATTTTAGTGCAAAAAATGTTGTAAACGAATGAAAATATCTAATTAAAAATGTAAACAAGACCATCATTTTAGGACATTCTACTTAGAAAATACACACCATATTTTGGGAGAGAGTAACGGGTAACCCTAGATAAGAACTATGAACTACTCAAGAGCCATCTATTTATCTCAAGCGTTATACGGTTAACCGATCCGTTTCAGGATTATGCGTTCTCTCCTTCACGACCTTCTTATTCACTCTCCCTTCGATCTAATTCTCTGATACCTCCGACGACGTCGCACGGCCTCTCTCTACAGATAGCCATAGATATTAATTCGTTTTCTCCAATCGCGTTTTCAGTGTTTTTTTGTGTTCATTCCCTTTTGAGGAAATCTACGGGGTATAATTTATGCAGCCTAGGGTTTCTATGATGACGCCGTCGCCTACAACTTTCTCGGCGAAGCAAGAGTTCGACACGCCCACGAACAATCTGTGGGTTGGCAATCTCACCCCCGACGTGACTGAAGCCGAGCTCACCGCTCTGTTTGAAAGGTACGGCCAGGTTGACAGCATATCCTCTTACTCCGTCCGCAGCTATGCCTTCGTCCACTTCAAAACCCTAAAAGATGCCATGGCCGCCAAGGAGGCGCTGCAGGGAACATTGCTCCGTGGGATTCCTCTTAAGATTGAATTCGCGAAACCGGTTTGTATTTTCGTGTCTAGCCGTTGTTTGATTCGGGTCATATGTTTTTGCTTTTTGGTGATGGATTTTTTCTGGATCTGTAACCATAATTGACATTGTTTTAGAGCTCTGCTTATGATGACCTTTCATTTATTACAATCTCAATCATTTATTCGTTTTCACACCTCTATCAGTGAGTCAGACGAGAACACGCACAAATGAATATTTGTTAAATATCATATATCTCATACAAGATAAGAACTCGTTCATTTTTCTTTTAAAATTCGACTCTTTTTAATTCTGAATTACGAGAAAGAAAACCACGAAGTTCCACCACCTGCGAATCATGAGAATCGAATACCTTTTTAATGTAGAGGCAAAATTTTTGTTTCGGAATCCAAAATTTGAAAACGAAGAATGCCAATGCTCTCATAAATAAATATAATAATTCTGTATGTTGTGTGTGAAAATTAGAATGCTTGTTTAAAAGTTATGCCTCCAATGCTGATGATGGATCTACTCGGTGTTGAGAAAACTTACAGTGGAGTTGTGCCGTCAAAATCATTCCTCGAGCAATAATAGTCAATCCTCCCTTTCCTGAATAAAATTTAACATTGCACAACTTTTCAGCGTTTCAAATCCAACTCTAATGTTAAAGAATACATTAAAACGTTTGGGAAGTCATGTTTTAGCCTCACAATCATTCCACATTAACTTAGTGAATTGTTTTCCTTTAAAAAATGCGCATGACGTGTTCTTTTTTCTTGTTTTTTGGGTTTATATTTTCGCTCAACATATTGGATTATTAGTTGTTAAGATCTGGCACGTAAAGATTAATGAAATCAGTTTCTGAAATATAAATAAAGGTAGAGAATTGTACCTGTTATAAATCACTTCTGAATCGATATTTGACAGAATCCCTTTGCGGTCAATTCGTGTATATAGTTTTGTGCAAAAAGAGTTTGAAACTTCAATTTGTGCTTGTTTTGATAGAGAAATGAGCCTTCATTGTCTAAAAGAATCTAAAGCCTGTTCTTTTAACGAATGCTAAAAGGAATGCTAAAAGGAATGCTAATAAGGCCACCTTGTAGCTCTAGCTGGGGAATATAAAGATTAGCAAATACAACAAAAGGACATTTTGTGATTGTGAACCATATCTGTGCAGTATGTGTATTATTAATGGCAATTAAAGTGCAGTATCAACAAGAACTTTATTCGCACTGGGAACAAAAAGTCTCTTTCTTGTAACCTTTGCCGCTTTCACAATCCTTACCGCTGGGTGCAGATTTCTGAATTCTGTTAGTACATTTGATGGTTCTGCTCTAATACAAAACTACCCATTGCCAACCATTGTTTTAGGAATCCTGTGTAATCTTTGTTTTGTTGTATCAATGCTGGAACGACAATGTTTTCATCCTGGACACAATCCCTTACTTTAACTTGTTCCTCATGGATGGTCACTCGAATGGTCTTTCTGCCTGACTTGTTTAACTGGTGACTTAAGTTTAGTTATTGGTTCAGTGTCTTGCTAAGAAGAATATCTTGTTAAGAAAAATAGGGTAAAGAAGATAACTACGTCAGAAGTAATCCCTTTTGTTGCTGTACTATTAATACCGTTTTGTAAGAAACAAGTTTCTCAACACTTCATTGAAGATTTGCTCCAACAAGAGTATGGAAGTTCCGACGGAAGGAATATTTTTGCTAAAAATTCAGTTGCTAGCTTTATAATCACATGATTCAATGATTAAGTCTCATATGTAGCAAATCTTTAATACATGTTTCTTTTCTTCATTAGAGTAATATTTGTTTTGCAAGCGTGATAAATATTTATGTATGGGCACTATGGTGGATAACATCTATACATTCTGGCAGGCTAAGCCATGCAAAAGCCTGTGGGTTGCTGGGGTAGGCCAGTCTGTTTCTAGAGAAGAGTTGGAGGAACATTTTAAGAAATTTGGTAAAGTTATAGAATTCAAATTCACAAGGGACCGGAACACAGCTTATATTGACTATGCTCGATTGGAAGATGCAACTGAAGCTCTTAAAAATATGAACGGAAAGCATATACGTGGAGACCAGATTCGTGTGGATTATCTCAGGTCACACCCTGCAAGGAGGGTTAGTTTTACTCGATGAGACAAATGCTCAATAGTAATCTTAAATACACTTCGGTCTCTCTTAGCACTATGAGTGGATTTATCCATTGATTTGTTGATGTACCCCCCACTCGATAAAATTTGATCTTCAAAGTTATCTTTCACGAATGGATGAATCTATGGAAAGTATTTTCTCAATGGATATTATTATTTTTGGTGTCGTAACAATGTCAAGAGTGGATTCGATCAGTGATGTCAATAGCAGGCTATAGAGGTGCTATAGCGGAATAGCGGGGCGGGGGGGCGGGCGCTATTGGACTCCTTATAGCGGAGCGGTTGGCAATAGCGGCTGTAGCAGGCGCTATAGTGAGAAGAATAGCCGCTATAGCGGACGGTATAGCGCCACTATGATTTATGGGGGCTACTTTAGTGCTAGTTTTGAGGGAATTTGGGAGTACGTTTTACTTTTAGATGTTTTTGGAGTAAAGAATAACCTCAATTCACCCTCCAAAACACGTGTGGCCGGGGGGGGGGGGGAGAAAAACCTACCAAACAGTTGTAAACACTACTAAATTAACTCAAAACTGAAACCAAGATCAAACATATCCTATATCATACATCTCCTTGTTAAGGTAGACTAGGTAGTTCAAAGCATCCCAACAACCCACGATTTTCTTACAATGAGATATTAATCACACAAATTTATCAAGAATTATTTGGAACTTAATTTCTAATGTTTAGAAGTAAGGTACTTAAATTATTGGTTTCTTTTGTTTAAGACTCTAATGCCTCTTTATTGGTAAATTTGTAAGTACAAATGTCATGACGTGTGGCTAACATATTTGTGATTTACCATTTCTTGGAATTGATATGTGCATGACATGTAATATATGCATACATATAATATGTATTTTGCATATATATTGTCTAAATAGCGGTCATCCCGCTATCCGGTATGCCGCAATAGCGTTTTCGGGGTTGGCCGCTACGCTCCGCTATCCGGGATTTACAACACTGGATTCGATTTTTGGGTTACGGCTTGAGTTTATCCTCGCTCACCTGAAACGCTATTTTGGTGCAAGCGAAGGAGCTTTGTTAGTTCTTGTGTAAGATTCTTTCTGGCCATTTAACATGAACTTGTGGCATCTTTTTAATTTTGCAGGAGCAAGGCCCTGACATTCCGAAAGAGGGACAGCTTCCTTACAGGGGTGTTCCGCATACACAAGATTATATGAAACCTTACTCTGGGCCATTTCATGCTGGGACCAAAAGGCAACACGTAATGCTTCATCCTTTATCTTCTATCTGCTTTAGGTTTTCATTTTCGTGCTGAATTTACTTCTATTTACAGCACTGTTTATGTGCTCGTTCCTTTTGGTCATTATTGTAGTGGAGGAGAGGTTAAATCTTACATGCCTTATTTCTGTTAATTTTTTTAGAGGGAGACATGTTTAAGTTGTCCCTCCATTTCCCTGTACTCCCTATCCTTCCAATGGGGGATTTGGAGGGGAAGCTAAATCCACCTCCTTTTCCTCCACTCTAAGAAAGACCAGACATGGAAATACTTTAACAACACTCCCCATAGAATGGTAACACTTACGTTATGTTTCCCCTTCTGTTCTTATTAGGTTTTGTATCAATAGAGCGTAGAATTGTAAAGGTCGATTTTAACACACATGTTTTTTTGTGTGTGTGTCCTTTACACAGTTTGAACCACAATTCCAGCAGCCTTTTGGGGGCAGAGATTGTCAGCCAAGTAAGATCTTGTGGATAAGCTATCCTCCCTCTGCTCATATTGAAGATGACATGCTTCACAATGCAATGATTTTGTTTGGTGAGATTGAGAGAATAAAAACATTTGATGATCGAAATTATGCATTAGTTGAATTTAGGAGTGTGGAAGAAGCGATTCTTGCCAAGGAAGGGTTGCAGGGAAAGCTTTTTAATGATCCCAGAATATCCATCGAGTACTCAAACAGTGGGTTTCCTCCAGCAAGAGAATATTTTGCACACCATCCATCACAAATGGGAGGCATATTGGATCACAATCACTCACTCCTTCCTAATAATAACATTCATGGGCTATTGCCTCGTGGTATTCACGGTTTCAATATGCTGAGGAGGCCTTTGGGCCCCCCTCCTCAAAACAGGTTAGATCATAATACTCCCGGCTTTGAATATCCAAACGTGGCAGCAATACACAAATTACAAGAATCAGGTCCTCATAATCTGATGGGTGGACCTGAGTGGGGACGCTCATCACCTGTACCTGAAGCTTCTCCTACAGGTGTGCCAAAATCACTGAACAGACCAGCAGCATCTGGTGGTTGGGACGTGTATGATGCTTCTGCTTCCCAAGTGCACAGGGAATCTAAAAGATCAAGAGTTGATGATGCCTTGCCTCATTATGATGTTCCGTTTCCCCCTAAAAGATTGGATGATCAAACATTAAAAATTGATGAACGATACAATATGGGTTCAGTTGGTAACATTAGGGGAAGGCATCACCCAGCAGATGAAAGGGGTACCCCAGGTCATGATTATATATGGCGTGGCCTTATTGCCAAGGGTGGGACACCAGTTTGCCGTGCTCGTTGTGTTCCCATTGGTGATGAGATCGATTCTCAGATGTGCGTAATTGTTCCTTCCCGTGGTTGTTTCCCCCCTGTAATTTGTGCTTATTTTTTGATTGATTTATGTAGTTAGTGCACACTTTTAGGTTCCCTTTTTCAAGATTAAACTAATTATGTTGAATGGTTTAACTCTGCAGTCCTGATGTAGTCAATTGCTCAGCCCGGACTGGGTTGGACTTGCTAACTAAACACTATGCAGATGCCGTTGGATTCAAAATTGTCTTCTTCTTGCCGGATAGGGAAGAGGATTTTAGTTCATATACAGAGTTCCTGAGGTACCTAGGAACCAAGAACCGTGCTGGGGTCGCAAAATTCAATGACAGTACTACTATGTTCTTGGTACCTCCATCTGATTTTCTCACAAATGTTCTGAATATTGCTGGGCCAGAGCGTTTATATGGGGTAGTATTGGAATTTGAACAAGTGCCTGCCACGTCTGTACAGGCACCACCACTGCCAATGGACACACTTCAACCACCTCCATTTGTAGATCCTCCACAGAAGATAACATCCTACCATCAGCCTGCATACAATATGATGCCTCCTAAGGATTCACAAATGGACTATAACAATGTTGCCTTACGAGAAGACGTGAAACTCCCTCCAAAAATAGCTACTAACGAATCTGTTCCATTGCATGCAGCTCCCCCAAATAATAACACATCAATACCTCCTCCTCAAAGCAGTGTTACTTTAACGCCTGAACTTATTGCAACTCTCACTTCTTTATTACCACTTAATAATTCCTCTGGTTCCGAGTACAACACAACATCTCCTACTTTAGGTCCTGTGTTAAATAATGTGACCGTTGCACCACCAGAAAGACAGGATACACAGGGGTGGGGATATGATCAACTGGCACACCATAACCCCCAAGTCTACCCTTTACCTCCAACCCAAGTTCATCATCCGCTCTTCAATGGCCCCCACAGCCATTCTGCTCATGGAGTGGTTGGGTTCAGTCAAATTCAAGAGCAGCGCCCTTATGACTTTCAAGTGCGGCCAACTGCGTCAAGTAATGCATTTGCCTCGACGACTAACCCAGTACAAAGTGGGAATATGGCAGGCCCATCGCATGTTGACCAACACAATCCACATGGATCTTCTCAGGGTCCACTTATTCAGAACCCTGGGTTTTTTGGATCAGATTCTTCTTCAATGTATGGTTCCACAGTGCTTCAGCAGCCCACTGTGTTGCCCAATCAGGCAATGAATCCCCAGCCTTATGCTAATACAACCCCCCAGGCTTCGGGACCTGGAGGGAATGCTGCCCCCTCTCAACAACTTCACTGTGAGGCAGGACAGGAAAGTTGTGAGTCCGAGGAAAATAAGAATGAGAGGTACAGAACAACATTACTATTTGCTGCAAATCTGCTATCGCAGATTCATCAACAACCAAATAGTCAAACTGGTCAAGGATCATGATTACATTCAGATGGTGCTTCCATTTGTTCAGGTAATTTATCATCACCTTGTTGTTTGGATGAGCTCTAATTGTCCTTGTGATTGAACTTTAGGGTGTGTGCATTATCTGTCTTAGTTTGATTTTTCTGTTGTCTGAAGTCTGCAACTAAGTTGTAGGTAGCTGAAATTTTCTTTTCTGACCTCTTTCTTTAGAGCTATAGCTTGTAACGATATGAGCTAAAAAAGTTCAGCGTTATATTAATATTGATACCAATTTTTTAAATAATACTACATCCATCCCCAAATAGAGTCATGTTCAACCAAATTAAATTTGTTTGGGTGGGGTAGAGCTGCCATAAATTCTAAAGCGTACTTGTATTTTTTGGCGAACTAAGTTTATCAGGGAAACTATATGTACCTATTTTTTATTCGATCTATTGAGGAATTACATAAAAAATTATCTTTTTTTGATCAAATTGGACTCTGTTGGAGATATAGATAGTGTCTCGGATGGAGTGAGTAAAAACCCCTTTTCATCTCACTAGAAAGGAACCCAGTCAAAACAATTGGTCTCTCTACATAGCCATTTACACTGGTTTTGATAGACAATTTCTTTCAACCACCGCTTGCACATCAGAGCTAGTCCTCTTTTTCTGTATCCATGAATACCAAACTCATATAATCCTTGCAACATTTATCTCATATAGTCATATTCTGATCTCTTATTCCTGCGGTCCTGCCTAATGGAAGTCTAAATGCACAGATTTCATACACATCATTGTTAGTTTCCGAGTGAAATAGATAACCATCATCATATTAAGAGTGGAAAATGAGATTTTATATATTTATTATTTAGACTTATTTTAGACTTTTGTCTGTTAGGATATTGCAAAGACGAATAAATCTTAAAAAAGTTGACGTGTCATGTTTTTACAATTCCATGAAAATAAATGGTTGCTCTTTACCCCCCTCCATTTATACAATTTTAAATCCATGAAAATTAATATGATGTCATCTTGCATTGCTGTGGTTCATAAGCTGATTTATTATTAACATGCTATTTAGAAAATAAAAATAAAAATTGAAGTCTTTAGTTCTATGTTTATATCTTCGTAATTAAGCGGATTGCATGTGCTTCCTTTGGTAATGTGCATTCTTGTACATAGTTGTACTTTGAAATACAAGGGTGCCATTATTTTTTACTTTTCGTAGAGGCGTGCACATTTTTTCTCTATCTGTGTGTGTGTCAGTGAAGTATTAGCAGGCTTGGGGTTCCTAAGGGAGACATATTTACAGCATTTTCTAGTCTTGCTTGGACCTGGTCAAGTTTATTTGAGTTGTATGTAAATTGAAATGATGCACTTCTACTGAAATCTTATATCATCTGAGTTGTGAAATATTGCATGTTTGTGCAAACTAAATGATTGATCCAACTATCCAAGATGTCTTGAAACCTTCCTACCCCAAGGAGAAAAAAACAAAAACAAAAACTTCGTAGTTGCTGTACATAGCTAATGATCATCAAATATTTTGTCTGTCTGCGAACTGATAGACAAACTTCCATACTAGTATCGAATTCACAACTTTGGCAAAATTTAAAACCTGTGTGCAATATTATTGCACAAACTATGTACTCCTATTAATTAATAATATAATTAATGTAATAAAGTAAAAGAAGGATCATATTTTCTGAAAACATGAAACTCCTAATTGCTTCTTCTGGTCACATACTCGCATATGGAATCAAACCATGAGTCTATTAAGTTTAACTTTTGAAGTAACTTATAGATTTACCTCAAAAGGACAACAATGTCTATCAACAAATGGGAGATAACGTGATTGTTTTAATGAGGGTACTAACATCTTATATGCGACTTCATTTTTACTCGGTACTGGCTGATTTTAACATACTAGAATCTGCTGATCTCAACCCAAAATTGGGGGTCAAAACATGATCACTGCAACATTTCATTGTTGACGTGGTTAGAAAACTATAAACTCATTGAAACGGTAGCTTAGTTGGAATGTGTAAAGGTATATTACAGAAGACATTAGTTTCAGAACAAATAAAAACATTGCTCGGCTTTAGATACACAATAAAGATATAAGACATCAATAATAATTACTCCGTATTTAACAAATTACAAAACGTTAGACAAACTGCATATGTTATGTCATTAACCAGTTCATGTTTAATATATTTCAATCATACACTCTTGATAATAATCACCTTGTGTTTTTTTGAGAGAACGTCACACCACAGATATCAGTATGTTCATCCTGAAGTAACAATGCGTGGAGTCAGATTTCATGTACAAATTTTTATCTCGCTTATTCTTCTTAAGCAAAAGCTAGTGGGCACTAGAAAATGTATGGGTAAATCTCTACAAATAAACATAGTAAATATTATTTAAAATTTATTTAAATAAAACGACTACAAAACTCGACACCAATACCTTAATGAGATTCCAAATATCCACTGCATCAAGTTCTGTTCAGATTAGGTACTAGGTTTGAGTAAACGAAAGTTTGTTAGTATTTCAATTTTTTTTTTTAAAGTAGCTTAGATATGTGTGTCGATTCAGGAATATAGGAATGCTAAGTTATTCGTTTTATTATGGCTTAGTACTACTATAGGCTTTTCTACAATAATATAGGTTTATGAGTAGGAGGTTTTTAGTATTGTAGTGGTATTGTAATCTCACAATTATCATCGACTTCATCAAATCATATTCTCATTAAAACTTCTTCTCAAGTTATACTCGAATAGTTTTTTGTTTATTCTTTCAATAATTGTTTCATTTTTTAATGAGAAGGTTAAGTTGGGAAAGAAGTAATATTTCATTATGGTGCACTGTAGTTGCTTTTAGCGAAGTACTCCCTCCGGTCCCTATTAAAGTTCCCAGTTTGACTTCACACAGATTAAGAAAATAAATTTGACTTTACTATGGAGTGTACTGTTTGGCACTGTTTGAACACTGTTTTGCACTGTTTTGTTTCCTACAATGGAAGTGTGAACTTAAATAAGGGACATCCCAAAAAGGAAAGTGAGGACTTTAATAGGGACCAGAGGGAGTATTATGTATTCTTGATTTCTATTTTTTTAAATGAAACTTCACGATAGTGTTTTTACTTTGTAAAAAACTACCTAAAGTTTCATTTTTTAGAAATCAAGAATACATAACATTTCCTCAGTTCTTAATTAAATACGTGTTAAATTTTACACTATTCACATGTTTTACTTTGACTAAGTTTTATTTATTAATGTCTTAATATATAATTTTTTAAAAATAAAAGTTAAATTTGTCTCATTGTATTCTTTTTGGAAAGAAAATTACCTATGTTTGTTTCAGTAGTTTCAGGGTCGTTACATCAATAAAAAAATCATATCTGATACCAACTACATCTACCAACTATGATGGCTAACCTTACGATTAGACATTTAAACGATCGTCTTTGAAAGAGTAACACGAATTGTTAATCTTGAAATGAGCTTGACACAACTATCATTGGTCTTATAGTTCCGTACTTCGAACAACTATCATTGAACCTAGCAACATAGACTTTAAAAAGAATTCAAACAACAATTATCAATAATTAATTGAATAAATTTCTTGAACTCTAGCACCTTGTTCAACCTATGGCAGTGGTTTGGGAAGGGGTCAAACCATAGTACTACAGTGATTGATTTTCCATCATCGGTTGAACTCCGACCTTCACCATATTCGTTGCACCTCAACCCTTCTTGCCCCTCGTACATGCTAGAGTAGCTGCTCATCGTCATCTTGGTCATGGCATCACGACCACTCGTAATTGAAGCAACATCTCTGGTTAGGGTCTGAACCATACTCATATTCTCACCTTCCATCCTATGCCTTTCCATTGAAGCGGAGAGAAACATGATTCTTGAAAACTCTAAAATCGTCGATGAAGAAAGCTTCGCGCAACCCAAATCTCCCCTAGACCTGCTGGAAAAAAATATGATTTTTTAAATTTTTTATACTAATAGAGAAAAATATATATTAATGGTCAAAGTTATGCATTAACAAACACAAAAAGTTGATTATTGCACTTATTTACGAATGGAGGAGGTATTACAAGCAAACAAAGATCGAAAAATCAAAACCAATTGAAAATTCCATTGAAATCGAATCAAATTGAATGAAATCAAAATTGACTAATTTATTGGCGGTTTGGTTTACGGCTTATAGTTTATACTTTCGAGTTAAAAACCAATGAATAAAAACCTATTCACAAAAAATTGATCGGGATGTGCGAAAATTGATTTGAATCGTTACAAACTGATTGATAGCGACTCAAGTTGTGTTGTCTTAATTTCAGATTCACCTTTTCTAAAAGTCTGTTAAACTGATTGGTTAAAAACCGAATCGACTAAAAATCGAACTGATAAAATTGAAATCGTCGAAACCGACTCGATGAGCACCCCTAACTTGTTTCATGTCATCTCCGTAGGGTGGACTATGCATGGAATTTTGGTTGCACGTTAGGGATGGACTAAACCGGGCTAGCTCGACCCGGAACCGGCCTAGCTCGACCTGGAACCGGCCCAGCTCGTTACTGTTTGGGCCCGAACCTGACCGGGACCGGTTGGCCGGTTCCGGGCTTTTAGCCCGTTTGGGCGGGCCGGGTTCGGGCCAGGCCTGGTTTAATTTTTTTTTTCAATTTTTTTGCTTTTCTAGGTTAGGGTTGGGTGTTTTGGGGGGGTTGGGGGGTGGGGGTGAAGGGGGGGGGGGGGTCGGGTGTTAATTAGAAACAAAAAAAATGAACTTGACTCGAGCCTGGCCCGGCCCGGTTAGGCCCGGACTTGGTATCAACCCGGGCCGGTTCCGGGCCCAACATTTTGCAAAAAAGCCCGCTCGGGCCCGGCCCGGAACCGGAACTGGACCGGCCCGGGTCCATCCCTATTGCACATAGAATTTTTTGGAGGGAAAGTTGAATGGTATTATTGGTTGAAACATTATCGATTGAAACATTTACGTTATTTATATCATTGATTTGTTTTATTTGAGAGTTAAGGTATCAAAATGCATCAAATAATAGTCCAGGTGCTTAAAATTGACCGAATTGACTGAAATTGATGAAATTATAACTATAGCGATTTAATGGAGTAATGTGTTGAGTTGTGAAAGTATTACATTCATAAAAAAGTATTAACAAAATAAAAGAATCTTGGGTAGTGATCTTCAACAATTTTAACATGCCAAATAAAAAATACAAGTTTGATAAAAAAAAGTGACTGATAAGCGAAAAATAGGTGTTAATGTGGCCTCAAACAGTGAGAATGTTTTCCAACTTTTAGCTTTTAAATAGTTAGAAAATAGTAATGTTTTCCAACTTTTAGCTTTTAAATAGTTAAAAAATAGTGTTCCCAAACAACTTGTTTTGCTTATTTTGAGCACTATAAAGCTTAAAAGTAAGTGAATGCGCGTTTTAAAATGTTATTTTTTTTTATCTATAACAACAATATCCAAATCTTAATTTCAAAAGAATTTGGGGTCGGATAACATGAAATTGATATGATATCGATGCCAAACAGAGCTACAGACAGGGGAGTAAGATAAAACGGATAAAATAAACATAAATATAGAAGATAAAACGATAAAAGAAAAGAGAGGAGATGTAGAGAAGACATCAATCGTCCAAAGTCATACTCTCATCCAATCCAAGTTATTGTTTTTTATCTATTAAACAAAAATTACTTTTACTACTCTCAATTTTAGTTTTTCAAAATCACTTTTTTCAAACGTATCATTTTTATTATATATAATCTCCAATTAATCATTTCATAGAAATAGAATTGAATGCAAACCCTTCTAAAACATCTAATGCTGGTATACTTTAGTTAGTAGGTACTCCCTCCGTCCCCTTTTAAATGTCCCGGAAGAGGGTGACACGAATTTTAAGAAAAGTAGGTTTGTGTGGTTGATATTAATAGATAAAGTAAGAATAAAGTAAGAATGATTTTGAGCCACACAAACTTTACCAAATAAGGTATGGAACAATTAAATAGAGACATCTAAATATGGTAAAATGGGACATTTAAAAGGGGACGGAGGGAGTATATTCTTTAACAAGAAGTCCCTCAGGAAAAATTAGACACCTTTTTGAGGTACAAAGTCACTATCCGACAACTTGTGTTTCGTATCAACTTTGTGTCTTTTACAACACGATCCCAAAAGTAATAATCTAATAAAATTGTCATTCATTTTTGGCGTTGTAGGTTTGTTGGACTACCGAACGAGGACAGTTATTTGGGCTTCGTTGAGTGGATTCACATGTTGGTCCGATGTGGTTGGGTCTCATCGGCCCAGCCCAGACTTGTAGTGATGCTACCACCGCCATAAATTATTTTGTGGTGTTTTTATCCTTTCTTTTTGTTAGTGTAGTGCTTTGTTCAGACAGTTATCAGTAATTATTTCGCAATCATTAGTTAATGACTTTTAATTTCGTGTTTCAATTTAGACTGATAGGAAGAGATGTTCCCCAATAAACTTCAACTTTAACATAGACGTATTTTAAAACAGCCTCCTGCAAAATCTCTTAATTCTTGAACTTTCCCACTTCAAGAAATGGAATTTAACAAATCACATTGAAATTTTGAAATCGGACGGGAATATGTCTACTTTGTTATATGGAAATGGATAGGAAGCTATGAAAGATTTAGAAGAAGAAATGTGATGATCTTTTAAATTTGATTGAATTTTTTTGGTCTGATCTCGTCGGGGTTGTTTAAGTCCAATCTAGTTTGATACATGTCTATAGTCTATGAGTGTTGGGTTAATGGCCCAACAAGGGTCAGCCCATCAACCCATAAGGGCCTTCTATGAACGTCCCCAGAAGGCCCACGAGGACCTCTTACGAATGTCTTGTTGGAGGTCCAAGACGATGGGGGTATCCGTCCGCTGGTTCGGAAAGTGGTTCGTCCTGAAGAGGGTCAAGCTTCAGCACCAAGGGTCAGGGGATGTACGTAGCTTATGTCAGCAGGTATTCTGTCCTAAATAGGAGCAAAAACGTTTTGAAATTCCAAAATAGGTGTATCATGTTTTATATTTCCTTAACAGGAGTAATCTCCCCAGTTTGGAAGAAAATGCCATGTTTAAAGCCTAGTAATGCCAAACTTGGCAGAAATGTACTCCTATTCAAGGAATAAAAAACATGATACTCTTATTTTGGAATTTCAAAACCTTTTTACTCCTATTTAAAGAATTCTCTCATATATTAGTGATTTTTGAAAATAAGTGCAAAGTCAAATAATCCAAAACGAGATACAAAGTCAAATTCTCCCAAATAAATACCATCCACACTTTTTTGAAAAGAAATATGACTTCATATCATTTCGCTATATATAATTAAATATCAATCACAACTTTGTTTTTCAATAATATTATTAGAATTGTGTCAAATCCAAGGAAATACATAATTCGAGCCGAATGGAGTAATACATTTAGGTTTTTATTTTGTTTTTCTATCTTTACATTCTCATTGTTACATTTTAGTATTTTGCACACTATTAATTTTGTTTTTTTTTGTCTTATTTTTTTCCTCCGATTCAACAAGACTCTTCTTAAAGCATTCCCAATGCCATAAGTGGTATGAGAAAAATTAACATCAAAATTAAAGAATAGGAGTATAATACATGTCTCCTTATTTGAATGATCTTACCAAAATTTTGATAACTTTTCTTCTACAATGTTAAGAAAAACGTTTAGATGTAGGCATTATATTTTACATTGTTAATAAGAATAAATTAAACATATAAATGCCGCGGAAAAAGAGAGAAATGTATTTTTTTTAGCCAAGAGAAATAGAATTTATTTAATTTAATTTTATGTGTTCATGTTTTTGGTGTCACGTATACACTTGACATATTGTGATATTGGAGACCTCTAAAAATAGTCATTTCATATTTTTTTTTGGCATTCTTCCATGTATATTACTAAAACAAATTCAAAAGACAAAAATATGATTTATATTAATTTTTTTCAAAAATGTGACATATTCAGTGACTAATTCTCAGTATTTATCATCTATCAGTAACTTGTCACTCTGACGAACACTATAGTGATTGTTGTTCAATTACTCATATATAATGAGTAATCATATTTTTACTAAAAGCATAACTGATGGAGTATATGACCCGGGAACACCCGGGCCACAGACTCCTACTACTCCAGCTGGAGGCCCAACAGGCCCAGAAGGCCCAACAGGCCCAAATAACGGCGCCCAGAGTACCAAGCAGCCCGCAATACGCGTCAGGGGTGCCTTCACCCCCCTGGCCGAAGGCTCCGAACTCTCACAGAACGGATATTTCGAACAAACAGAGGGACTGGGAGAAAACGGCGAAAACAGTAGCCCTCGGCACCTGGAGCCCTCGGCACTCAGGGGTCCTCGGCACAAAGAGCCCTCGGCTAATCCTCTGCAGCCGAGGGCACCTCTCCCGACATGATATCCGCCTCACATGCGTACAGATCATCGTACCCTGTACAGACGTCCCATCCAACAGCCGCATTAAATGCGGCCACATGTGGCTGCCAACGCCAACCAGTTGAGGTGACCTCTCGGCCAATAGGCGCTTGACGCGTGTCCCTGTCCGGCATTTATTGCTACTATAAATAGCACCCCATTTCCCCATTTGTAACCACGCTAAAAACGCTCCACATTTATAATACTCTCTCTCTCTACATTTACTTGCTCTGACTTCTCTCTAAGTTATTCCCAACAATAACCCTTCGGATATATACCCCCGGGTAGACTATCCATCAATAACTAATTATATTTTTATTCGGAGAAATTTTAGAGTCTGTTTGGTAACCTTTTTTTTCGGTTTATCAGACTCATCAGTCTTATCAGCCTGTTTTTTCAACAAACACATAGATAATCATTTTAGCTATTTTTTCATGTAAGCAGAAAAAGTAAGGTTGAAGTTACTTTTCTGGCTGTATTGACTGAAGTTACTGTAGAGAATCATTTTAGCTATTTTTCATATATTTTTTTATTTAATTTATTAATAACAAATATTTTAAATATTATTTTTTCATGAATCAGCAGAATCAGTCAATACAACCACTTCAGCCAGAATCAACCAATTCTTCCAATTTTAGTGTTAAAAAATGGGCTTTGATAATAGTAATATGAATGACATTTTTTTTTATTTTTCGGTTTCAAATGGGAAGGAGAAGATCATAGGACTCAAATTCGCCAATTTGGGTTTCGTTTTCTTCGGAGGGTAAGCAAAGGGCACATATAAGTCAACTTGTCCCCTCGCCAGTTGCCACCTTTAATGACACGCGGGTGCCCTGCATCGCCCCTGCCTTTGAAGCCTCTCCCTCCCTCCCACTCCGCCATGTGCAACCCTTCTTGATTTCTCTTTTCGCCTCCAGGAGATCTGTTTCCAAGAAAAAGAGAAAGCGCGTAAGCATGTTTTCTTTTAAAATTGTTTTACAGCATTATCTTTGAGTTTTTACTATTCCTGTTTTGCTTATTTAATGAGCACCGTATTTAGTTCTTTGGATTTTGCGATTATCTTCCGCCATTAGCTTGAATTCGTTTTAATTTCACCCTTCTTTTGGGATTTTCTCTGAAATTTTATCCATTTCTACATCACTAATCACGAAGTCCTTTTTCCATTTCTAGGTCTAAGTTCAGGAGCGGTTGGTGGGGTGAAGATCGTATTCTATCATATTGTTTTCGAGTTTGTATTTTGGAAGCTGCGTCTATGCTCTTTTGATTGATTGAGGGGAAGAGAGTAACTTTTTCCCCTTTCAGTCCTAAAGCCCCAGCTACAGTCTGCTGAAACTAAATTCTCTGTTGTTTGAATTTTCGGGCTTCTGTATAATTCCCCCCCTTTGATTATTTTTAAATTTATTGAGAATTAGTGTTTCCCAAGCTATTTAGCTCAGACTGTGAAACATTTTTGCTTGGGTTGTTGAAGTTTGGAGAATTTAGCATATGGAAAAGGACAAAGCTTCAGGACATGGAGGGGGGTTGCTGCCTCCTTCAGGGAGATCTTCAGTCTTCTCTCCACCATCTACTAGTAATATTAGCGTAAAGACTGAGCCATCTGGATGTTTCAATTTGCCTCCCTTAGGACCACCCCACACGGGTTCTTCTGAATCAGGCCGTTTTGGTAGTGGAGTGCCATCAGATTCTAGCCACTTTAGTCATGATATCAGCTCGATGCCTGATAACCCGCCGAAGAATTTGGGCCATCGGCGTGCACATTCAGAGATTCTAACGCTTCCTGATGATATCAGTTTTGATAGTGATCTTGGCATTGTTGGTGGGTTTGATGGACCATCACTTTCTGATGAGACAGAGGAGGACCTTTTTTCTATGTACCTTGACATGGATAAGTTTAATTCATTGTCTGCAACTTCTGCTATGCAAGTGGGTGAGTCATCTTCTTCAGCAGCTATGGCTTCTGGATCATCAGCTCCAATAGCTGGGAATGTTCCTCATGCGGCTGCTGAGAAACCGAGAGTTCGGCATCAGCATAGCCAGTCTATGGATGGATCTACAACTATGAATGCAGAAATGCTCACATCAGGTTCAGAAGACCCGTCTCCAGCTGAACTGAAAAAGGCAATGTCTGCTGCCAAGCTTGCTGAACTTGCTGTTATGGACCCGAAGCGTGCAAAAAGGTATGCTCTAATGAGAATTCTCATGCTCTCAATTCTAAGTCCATAACATGTATTGCAATGTGATAATCTCTTTCAGTTCAATGCCTATCTGTATCTATATTGAGCAGTGTGAACTGTAAAGCATTTAGTTCCCTTTATTTAATGTCTTAGCCATGGTTTGTCAAGCCTTATTATTCTCCTATTCTTGGATAAATAACCAAAAATCATGAAAATGGTACCAATGTAGGCTAATATGACGACTTAAAGATAGAGGTAAAAGTTCTTATTTTAATACAAAATCACTTTTGAGTAACAACTAATAACAGTTTTCTTTACCCTTACTCGGGTGCAAAAGATTTTTTCGTCTTAAGAGTTAGAAGTAAATCATTTATGTTGTGAGATTTTAAGCTTTGAAAATGGAATACAAAGTACAAACACTCATTGAACTTCTTGATACAATCTCTTCTGGCATTAGCTCTAACCTATAAAGCTCAACTCACATTAGCTTTTCTCACATAAACAACACTAGCTTTACTTTCCTTCGCTTGGAACTAGTATTTTACTATATGAATTATGAACCATATCAGAGGGTCTAGTATGTCACTTGAGTTCATGTGAGGTAGATCATCCATCTAATAAGTAATGAGAAAGATATACTAATCTAGATAAGCCATTAACACGTCTAAGCAATAAGCATTTAAGCTTTCCACAGATTATAGTCCTAGAAAATCCTATCAATAATTATTTATGAAAGCTCTTCCATTATCTCTAATGTGAAAAGCTGAAGTAACAACAGTTTTTCTCACGTAAGTCAAACCAAATGATCTCTAGTTGTTCTTGTTCTCACCTGGTACTAGTTTTATACTATGTCAAATGTGAATGGGAAGGTCTAGCTTTTCATGTGAGTTGATGAGATGTAGATCATACATCTAATGAGTAATGACAATGGTGGCTAACTGGATAGACTGATCTTTATAAGGCATTGATATGTTTACAGATTTAAGTTTTCGGCTGGCTGTAATCCTAGCATTTTTAATTTGTGGCTCTAGCTACCTAAATTTTGCAGATTCTAACTTGTATAACTGTCTCCCACTAATTCTATACTAGTCAAACTGAACAGAGTATAGTAATTACGGTGTTAGCACAACCATTTCAACTCCTCCATAAAGTTTTATCCTCTTATCACCACATAGATCACTTGAAAGTAGAAGTTTTTGCCTTTGCATGAACTCATTGTTTTGTCTATCCTTTCTGTGTACCAGAATCTGGGCCAACAGGCAATCTGCCGCCAGGTCGAAGGAAAGGAAAATGAGATATATATCTGAGCTAGAGAGGAAGGTCCAGACCCTTCAAACTGAAGCCACTTCATTGTCTGCTCAGTTGACCCTGTTGCAGGTATTTTATGGTTACTTCATTTGTCTTGCTATACTGTGGCATTGTTTTTAATTTCCACTTATGCTGTTTCAGTTTGTGTTTGCTTTTCCCTTTTTCGTGTGTTGGTAAAGAGGAATCTTCCCGGTGGTGTTTCTTTTCAGCATTAACACAAATCCAAAATGCTTCATGCTTCTTGAGCAAGGTAGTCAAAGTTGCTTGGCGCATTCGAGGTGCTAGAGTACTCTCGCCTGAGGCGCAAGGCGCAAAAAGGCGCTCGCCTGACTCATGTCAAGTGCAGTGTTTAGAAAACATTATGTATACTGTTTTAGAATTATCAAACACGATATGTTCAACATCATGTTGAAATAATTGTATTAACAATATCATCATTCACAAAACACCAAATCAGAAGCCATAACTTAAGTCTAAAATAATAAGACTAAAATTGAAATTTAGTTAGATTCTAACCCATTTCCCAAGTCATAGCTCTCAATGATCCTCATCATTAAAAGAGGAATCCATATCCTATGAGCACTTCATTTCAATATTCCTAGAAACACTTGAAGTTTCACCTTCCATATATTGTTAAGTATAAATCACAGTCATAATATTTAAAAGGAGTTGGAAATGGAAACAATAACAAAAGAAAAAACTTGTTGGGAGAAAAAATATACAGAAGGAAATGACAGGAAAAGATAGAATAAAAAATAAAGATGTAGACTTTTCAATGAAAAGATAGAAATAAAGAAAGAAGATATAGATTTACATTCAAAAAGAAAGAAAATATAGAAAAGAATACACAAAAAAATGAAAATAACAAGAAGATGAAAAGCAGAAACAAAATTCGGAGGAGGTTATCTTTGCATGTTGTGTGGGGTGTGAGTTGAAGGAAAGAAGAATGCAACGATAAAGAGACCTTCTATGTTTCGGTAGATTCCTTAATACACCGGCTGGGAATGGTTTAACAGGGTTTATGTTGTTTTTCCCTATTAGTTGGCTGGGCTGTATCTTATTATTAATATGTGTTTATTTAAAATAGGCCCAAATCTTATTTTCAAGAAGAAAAATAAGCTGGGAAGTCTTTCCCAGCCTAGGCAAATCAGGCGTGTGCTTCTAGTGTTTATATTGCACCCGACCCAGACCTCACCTGGAAGATTATTAAATGCCCTTTATAGTGCCTCGCCTGGTGCGCTTAAGCGCCCAGGCTCGCTCTTGACTACACTGTTCTTGAGTCTTAGATGCATAGGCAAATGTGTTCTAATGGAACTGGCACTTGTACTGTGTGCACAAATAAAAAATGTAACAGCAAGTGAAAGGAATAGGTAGAATGGGTAAAATCATAGAAAAGCTGATGGTGCATTAGTTAGGATGAAAGGCCTGGCCAAGAACTCAAAATGGCCATGCACGTAATGAAAGGTGGTTTTCTCCACGTCACCAGGGTCCACATTCGGACTTGATACCCTCACCTTAAATCCAGCCCGGTAAAATATTATGCACTGGATTCCATCAAACAATTCATCTACTACGGTTGGGATGCACTATCATTAGACCTGTTCCTGGTTTTGAAGTAATCTTGTGCTCGTACTTTTGTTGTGGTAGCACTGCTGTGGGCTCAAAGAATAACTCGTCATGTTCCAAGTCATGGCATCCAAATGATGTCTTTGTCTTTGCTGCGAAACAGTGCTACTGGTGAAATAGTTGCAGGATATTGCCCCCACGAAATGACTGTCTTTCCGCACTTTTCGAATCACATGGTTTGCTCGGAAAAATCCCATATTATTGCTATAGAGTTGTCAACCTGGCCATACCTAGTGTGTCATCAAACCCATCCAATGGAATCGTATAAAAATCTGCTATATAGTCCTTGCCATCAATAAGGCATGACACTGATATGCCCCTTTACTTGGAATCAGTTCACCATTGGCTAACCGCTTACAACCCCAACTTCTTGTTGATATATAAATTTAGAGACGTTAGTATGATACCAACACTTCCCTTAAGAAGTTATGAAGGATTTCAGAATCATTAAACACTGCCAGCTGAAGTCCTGCCATTTGTGCTACCAAGTGCATTGCAAAGGAGAGTCTTGTGACTCTTGTCTCTGTTATTGCATTGGCTGAAAACTACCAAGTCTATCAAGAACTGTCAATCATTTATCACTGTCAGCTGTAGTCCTCTTCCTTCATCTCTATCAATAACTTTTTGCACCTGTGATTAATCAACCACAATTCGTCACAATCATAAGACAGCCCATTTCGATCATTTTCCCTCCATTTCTGTTGTGAGGTGCTTTACTGTCGCTTTACCTAGTAACCGAACCTTGTTGTCATAACCTCTTGTCTATGGTGTGGTGGGTTTTGTTGTTTCACATTCACTGTATTGCCCATGAGTATAGTTGGTTCAGGAGTAGTGATTGCTTTTCTTCTAATGGATGTGCGAAGTTCATATCATCCTAGGTTTTGCCATCCCCACACAAACCCTTTATTGAGGTTGTAGACCAGCGATAAATAAGACAATCTGGTCCATGGGCTGTTCCTGAAGTTCTTGCTAAGGCCTTCTGAAATTTAGAACTATACTCATGCAATAATTCCATTTGCCTCGAAAGCTTTAGATCTTTGATCGGGTTGGAACTGAATAGGGGATCAAAGCGCCTTCACACAAGGTTCTTTGAACATCCACCAATTAACTTCTTATTCTCAGGTCATTTGGTCAAACCACAGCTGCCCATCGTCTCTACCAAACGGAATCAGACATCATTGACCTTCCCAACCGTGGAAGTCTCTTGGTTCAAGATTTTTTTGCACCTTATGAAATATGAACTAGCCAATAGGGCCTAGGCGTGATCAAATACAGGAAACTACATTCGCATATTGTGGCTTCCAGGGGTCTGTGGTTCCAGGTTGTTGGTCATTCACAAGATTGTTCTTCACTTGCTTCTCATGTCTTCCAGTCGCCTTGGAATCCTTTAGGGGACATCTAGAATGAGAGCCACTATATGCCCTTCCATGGAAGTAGTCCTAGCAGGCAATGTCTCCATAGATTCCTTCAACTAGGTGGCTAAATCCTTATTTGGTGGCGCCATATATCTTGATGGATTTGATGCCAAATTGTTAGCAACTCGGGTTATAGATCGGTCCAAGGCTGGCTTGTGGTGGCAGGGTGTGTGGATGGGGGTGGAACCTGGCGGTGAGGAATGTTTCTTTTCTTATCGTGGCTAGAAAAGAGAGAGAAAAGTGTGTGACTTCTTAATTTTATCAATTCTTAATTGAACCTTGTATAATTGCTGAGCTTAATATAATTAGGCATCTTGCCATTCAAAAAGTGTAGATAAGGGCAGGGCGGTTATGAACAGATCATTTTTTTATTGGATTTTACTTGCATGTTGGGCCATTCAAAAATGTCTTTGCATTTTGTGTTATGATCACTAGAGGCTAAGTTAATATTTTTTAAAAAATTTCTTCAAACAGGAGTAAACCATAGATAAAGTGCACAAATAGAGTAGCTATGTTTTATTCCCAAAATAAGATGTATATGGTTCTACTAAAAGCATAAAATTTCTCTGATTAAGAGTAAATAAGTAAATTCAAGAACAAAACAGTGGTGGTCTTATTTGTGCACTTTGTCTATATTTTACTCCTATTTAAAATATTTGCTCAATTTCATAACCCCCCATTATATTTGACTTCGGGGGCTTGGAGAGTTGGAGCATAAGATTAAATTATCCTATGCACAATTGACTCTATTGGGTTTAGTCGTGCTCTATAATGCACATGTTGATGCATAGTATAAAATATACGAGTACATAGCTACACGGGGATGGATCTACATAAGGCCTCAGTTTGGTAAAATGTAATATTATCCATGTAATAAGGCCTCAGTTTGGTAAAATGTAATATTATCCATGTAATAAGTGTGCAAAACTTTTTTTTACATAAATAATGCACGCCCCATTAATGGTTAAGTACTACTATATGTTGTAAGTTCATATGACTATATTTGTAATCTAGTGGATATATTACTGATGGGACATGTCCGCAACTGCTATCTTTATTTATTTTGTCTCATATTTCATTAATGTTTCACAATCTTATGTATCATACAATGATGGTTTTGGCATTCCATCTCATTATTTATTTTTTACATAGGTCTAAAAACTTGTCACATTGGGTATTTGCATGAATTCACAGTGGTAAATAGTTTTAGACAAGTAATTGTCTTTATAAATTTCATGTCACTGATCCCAACATCATTGGGATTATGGTGATGGTGATCATGACTATTCAATCCCCTTGGAGTGAATTGTATGTTTTCCTTGGTCGTAATGGTTCAAACATGCACTTTTGTTCATGTATGTGTTTAACATTTTTTCTTTTGCTTTTGATAAAAAATTACAGAGAGACACCAATGGTTTGACGGCTGAAAACAGTGAACTGAAAGTGCGCCTGCAAACAATGGAACAACAAGTGCACTTGCAAGATGGTTAGAATATCTTAAGACACCACTACTTAAACATTTGTTTTCCAATGGCCTTGTTCTTCTCCTTCAGTTTGTTTTATTGGGTTTTAGGCTTTTAGCTTTTGATCCTTGGAGAACATTTCCCTCCTCTACAAGGTCAAGAAAATGGATGATGATAATTTTGGTCAATCATCCATTTTCAGTTATTGTCTTGTGTTCAGCCTTCTCTGGCTCCAGTGTTAATTCAAGTAATTTATTCTTCTTTTTCCCCATCCAGCCTTGAACGATGCTCTGAAAGAGGAGATACAACACCTGAAAGTGTTGACTGGTCAAGGCGTTAGTAATGGTGGACCTATGATGAACTTCCCTGCATCCTTTGGAACAAATCAGCAGTTCTACCACAACAACAACTCTATGCATGCATTCCTAACAACACAACAGTTCCAGCAGCTCCAAATAAACTCACAAAAGCAGCAACAGCATCACACATATCAGCAGCAACTTCAACTTCACCAAATGCAACAACTTCAATCCCCAGCACAACAGCAACAGCAGCAGGAACAACACCTGCACAAACCTGAAGGTCGCAGGGGAGATTGACTTTGGACCGTTATCTTTCTGTTGGCCATGCGTCCTCTAAGATTACCTACCTTTTTATCTTGACTGTGGGGATTTGATCTTTCTTGACCGTGGGGATTTGATCCTCGCCGTTAAGCTTTTGAGAAAGTTTGGCAGCGTAAGCCAAATTGCGAGGTGTGGCTCATTCTCTTGTTTCATTAGTTGCCATTGGTCCAAGATGGGTGGAGACTTGAAGCAGAGAATTTCATTGTCTGATGATGTATATCATTAAAGTTTATTGGTATCTATGTCACATAACTTGTTGCAGCTGGCTTGACTATTCAGCAAGTATATTATAGTACTTCTTAGGACCCCCCAATGATTTTAATTAGATTTGCTAAAATTTTTGTTTATTTGACGCTATTTTGTTGTTGGTCTTCCTATTTGAAGAACATCCCAATTTAGTCGTTGTGGTGTGTACTTTGATTACTAGACCTTCTTGCGGGCCATTTTCAATAGAGCAACTCTCCTTGACCAAGCAAAGAGTGCAAAAACCCTACTGTTATATTTTGTTGTTAGTTACTCTATCACTCTATGGATTAAACCAGTTTGATGCAGTGATGCTACATTAACAAGTGTTATGAGAAGCCCCTCTGAACTGGATCAGGCGGCAAAGTGAGGCGCCCTGCTGGGCATAGTCCAACGGTTGGACTAACATGATATGTGATAATGTGATGCATTCATTTGCAAATCTCAAAGTCTGGTCTTTTGCATCCGACTTGGTAAACTAAATGGGTCATCTATGAATACTCAAGTTATGTGTCCCTCCATGCTCCAGATTGCCTTTTCTTTTCATAGCACCAAATCATAGTACTTTTACAAAATCAGAACTGCCTAATGCTTGTTCCATCCGTGTGACACATCTACTCCTATTTTAAGAAACTCAATTATTAGTTTTCAAATTTGCCCCTTCAGCTAAATTACTCGCGCAAAATAACTTCTGCTGCCTAAGAATAATGACTTCAACATTCCATTCACGTGCTTTCCTTCTTCCGAACAATGTTCATGGCCCTTTCAATCTTCCGAATTGTATTGTTGGAGTCTTGCTTTCGTTCTTCCTTCACTTCTGTCTAGGCATGGACCGGTTCTGGTTCGGGCCCGGTTCGGGCCTGGGCCGGGCCGGGTCTGGGCCGGGCCGGGCCTCGGTTCAAGAAGGGGAGGCCCGAAATCGGCCCGGACCGGGCCTCGGTTCTATTTTGTTTTTTTGGCTTTTCCTAGTTAACCCCCAACCCTCCCCCTCACCCCCAAACCAACCCTAACCACCTCAAATGGCCCAAAATACTCAGCCCAACCCAAAAACTTAAAAAAAATTAAAAAACAAAATGGCCCGGCCTGGGCCCGAACCGGCCGGGCCGGTTCACCTTTTGAAGGGCCTGAGCCCGAACCGCCATCCCACCGGGCCGGTTGGCCCGAACCGAGTCCACCCCTACTTCTGTCACCCCTTGAAGTTGAATTGGACTTCGAACTACCGCAATAAGCTCCGAAAATCGCCAGCGAATTCCACATACGGAATAACAATTGAATTCCTCTTCTAGCATTCATCTTCAAAAATCTGGTACGTTGTTATCGATGAAATTTGTACATTTTCATTCCAATGTTGATTATAAACGAAAATCGTTTATACTAAGTTCCTCAAATTTTCAATATGAAGACCTCTCTGTTTATCCATCGCACACTTTGTTTTTAATTTCATATCTGCCTTTTGTATTTTCCTCTTTTCTTTGTTCAATTAGTCTGGATATGCTATTTAATTAAACGATTATGGATTCTACATATATAAGATCATGCTTTCTTAGTTCATACACTATGTAATGAATGTATTTGTTATGTTATTTTGTTTTTTGCTTCACATGTGTTGATTTTTAACTAGTTCATACAGTATACAATTTGTTTTTGTTTTTAGTAATTCATACACTATATAATTGGAGGTATTTTGTTTGTTATTTGTAGTTGTTAATTTCACAATTATTATTATTATTATTATTATTATTATTATTATTATTATTATTATTATTATCATTATCATTATCATTATCATTATCATTATCATTATCATTATCATTATCATTATCATTATCATTATCATTATCATTATCATTATCATTATCATTATCATTATCATTATCATTATCATTATCATTATCATTATCATTATCATTATCATTATCATTATCATTATCATTATCATTATCATTATCATTATCATTATCATTATCATTATCATTATCATTATCATTATCATTATCATTATCATTATCATTATCATTATCATTATCATCATCATCATCATCATCATCATCATCATCATCATCATCATCATCATCATCATCATCATCATCATCATCATCATCATCATCATCATCATCATCATCATCATCATCATCATCATCATCATCATCATCATCATCATCATCATCATCATCATCATCATCATCATCATCATCATCATCATCATCATCATCATCATCATCATCATCATCATTATTATTATTATTATTATTAATGTATTAGTCATTTTTATGATGTTGTTAATATCATATTGTGTTTCTCTTTTTGTGTATTTACAGTGATGGTAAAAATGTTGCTTATGCTTAAGGTGGAATGGTGGATGGCAATTAGGACAAGTCATACCTTTTCTTTAACAAACGATGCTTTGGCTTAATAGTACCTGAGGGGATATTATATATTGACTTTACTTCTATGGTTTATTCATGGGTGAATCTGTTACCAATACAAGGCTTAGGATTTCATACCTTGTAGATGCATGTCCACCTCCTGTGCTTGTTAATGACGATTCTAGCTTGGGATTTTACTTGGCTTTAAAAAAATGACAGTGACTATGCTAAGATTCCTTTGTGTGTTGAATTGTTTACTGTCGATTCTTGTGTTAATCAACCAATGTCATGTGGGGATTCTGCATTTGTTGTCAATGTTTCTTCCAAACCACCAACGATTAATGTCCTACAACAAGATATGTCTGCCAATGTTCTTCCAATTGATCTCAATGTAGCTGCTACTGCTTCACTTGATCTCAATGTGTCTACTGATTTTAATCAGTCCATGACTTTGGAAGATGCACATTCATCTTCTATTGAAGTCTCAGTTTCAACTTGTCCTTTTGATCCTTTGGAACATGATTTAATAGTTTCTAGGAGTTCTAGTGACACTTCATCAAGTCAAGCTATTAGTTTGGATTCAAATGGTTATTTGGATTCACTTTTTGTGGTTTCTGATTTTGAAGTTATTTCTCACTTCCATCCAACTCATATAGCCATAGATGCCATATACAAAACTAAAATGGCTTTTAGTTTCCATTTAAAGGTTTAGGCCATTTCAAACCATTTTCAATATAAGACCAAAACGTCAACCAAGAGAGTATTGCATGTTATTTTTGTTGATGTTGAGAAATGCAAGTGGGCTATTTGTGGAGTGAGGTTGTCTGGAAGTAACATGTTCCAAATTAAAAGGTATTTGTTTTCTGTGTTTGATGTTTTGCTTTATGGACTAGTTAGTGTCTGTTTATTGTCTATTTAATGTCAGTTAATGTTTTGCAGGTTCGATTCTGATCATACATGTTCCATTGAGTTTAGGCAAGGTCAACATCGTCAAGCGACATCTGATGTTATTGCAGAGCTTATTAAACACCGATATGCAGATGCATCTCAAAACCCATATGCTCCTATTGACATTATTATGGACATGAATAGAGATTATGGTGCGATGCTTCCTTACAAAAAAGTATGGAATGTGAACAAAGAAGCTCAGATAAAATTAATGGGGTCTAATGAGGAATCTTACCAGCTTATGCCATCCATTACACATGTTCTAGAATAAAAAAAATCAGGCTCAAAGTTCTCACTTATTATTGATGATCATGATCATTTTAAGTATTTTTTCATGTCATTACATCCATGGTTTGAAGGATGGAAACACTGTGTTCCAGTCCTTATTATTGATGGTTCTTTCATGAAGTCTTATTATAAAGGCACATTATTAACAACATGCGCTCAGGATGCTAATGACCAGATATTCCCGTTGGTGTTTGGTGTGTGTGACACTGAACGAAAGGACACGTGCTTTGGTTTTTTAAGATGCTCAAGGAAACTCTTGCTCATAGAGATGACTTATTTATTGTCTCAAATCGTCATGAGGGGATTATTCATGCAGCAATGGTAGTTTTTCCACACGCTGAACATGGGTACTATGTTCAACACATTTTAGGCAATATGAGGACAAAGTTTAGAGGATCTACTACTGATTTGTCGTGGAAGTTCAACTAGGTAATCAAGTTTGCCACAAGATCCTCCTATTCGTAGTTATTTGTTGAAGTTCAATTGGAGACTTTGGTTACCGAAAACGTTGTTAACGATGTAAGAAAGACGGACACAATAAGAAGTCTCGCAAGAATTATATCTCGACTCGTAGTTCTTAGTTTGATATATTTTCATGGATTTATTTTTTATTTCCTACAATAACATTTATAAGACTTACTTTTGTTGTCACTATTCTTTGTGCCACGGTTTGTTGACATTGAAATTTATGTTAGTTTGTCATGGTTTTTAGCGTTTCAGTTGATGTACTTTTGATTGTCATATATATTTAAGTAGCAGACATATTCAAAATTAAGGTTCTTAATGTGTATTTAATGACTATCTCGCTTGTTTATATGTAATGTCTATATTAAATTGCACTTAATATAACAACTCACTTATTCCTACTTAGTACATTAACTATATCTCGTCATGTGTCACTAAAATATTCTACTTAATATGGATTTGTAACATTTGGTGTTCCACATGTTTTAGTCGACCACCTTTAATCATATTCATGGGGTATGTATTATAATTTTATACTAATTCTTGTACTTTGCTTTAGTTATACTAACTTAATGTTCAAAAAGGACATTGCATATAGTCATGTTTCGAAAGAACTTTATGAATAACACTAAAATAAGACTACATTTTTGACCATTAACAACTTTTTATTTATATCACGTCATGTGTATTATTCTATGATTCCTAAATATATTTAACCGTTATTTCAGCAATTGAATGTGTTAAATTTCAAATTTGCTTTATACGTTTTTTTAACTTTTATACTTACTTTAGTCGTAGGAGTTTAATGTGAAGGAGTTTAATGTCTATGCATATGTCATTAAGGACTAATTAATACTCATGCACTTCAATTTTCAGTTGCAATTGAATCTCTAAATTCCTGCTACCAAGTTCTGGTCTGCAATACCACAAAGATAGAGGAGCATTCTGTTTCAGAAACTCATGGACTTCGCAGATTGATACGATGGAATTATCATCTTCGATCACAAATCGTAATGTCAACTCAAATCTATCACGGAAGAAGCGGAGGAAAACCGGCGATTCAGACCGGGATCAGATGCTGCCTACCTGTGTGGATGGATTCAGGTCGGAGAGTCGGGCTGCCTAACAGATCTACTCGTCGAAGCTTGTGGATGCTCTTTGATGGATAGTGTACCCGGGGGGTAGCTTATCCGAGGGGTTATTGCGGAGAATAACTAGAGAGAAGTCAGAGCAAATAA